TGTTAAAATTTTAAAGATTTTAAATAGGAACATTATCCAACATTGCAGAAGTTTATTTGAAATTAGCACCACTTTTTGATTTCCAGGCTGGCACACTTGCTAAAAAAAATACATTGTGAGATAAGGTAAGAAACATATAATGATGTGTATCTTTTGTTCACAAAAGAAGGAATTTCTTTTAAAATAATCTTTGTAAAATTTTAAGCTTGAAACTTTTGGTCAAATGTAATGATTTCAAAGATTGCTTTAGTTGTTTGAGTTGCCTAACCCGGTGTGTTATTTCCGTATTGCCACAATTACAATCAGAGGAGAAAATCTGTAAAGAGGGCTACATTCTGTTCAAATATGATAAAACAAGAGTTTGAGAGACAGCAGAATCCAACTATATTAACTTATTAAGCATCTGTTGCAATGTAAAAAAAAAAAAAAAAACAACGAAAAAATCAAGTTTGGTCTTTCCAAAAGTTGGCAATTGCCCATAGCTCATGGAATGCCCATTTGTTACGCCAGCGTCCATTTTGAGTGATTTCTAACTGCTGAATCAAACCGAGGTCTACAAGAATTATCTTGCAAACAAGTTTTGTGATCCTCCAAACTTTCAGAGAGCACATTTTCAGGTAAAAATATAAAACATTTTCTCAAAATGGGCTGTTTTAATTCGAATCTCAGGCAAAAGGTGAAACTCATTTAAAGGTTATGATACTATCTTTGGAAATTGCTGTAAATGCTGTCAAATTAGTGTAAAGACAAATTTATCGACTGTTCAACTCGGTTCCGAAGGTAAATAATTCATACAAAATGAGCAGTACCCAACAAAGGGTGGAAGGGTGGGGTTGTTTTGTTCTTTGCGCTCTACCTTCCCCATCCTGGTACAATGTAAGAATAGGTTCACGAAAGAATTTCATGATTATTCCACTTAATTCCTTCAAATCGCTTATTTTATCATTCTTTTTCGATGCATTGCTCATCAATCCATTATTCTGACACATTGTAGCTTAAAGAAATTCATAAAGAACGAAATTGAATAAGTCAGTTCAGGGTTTTCTAACCTTTGTTATGCAGAGGAAAATTCTTACTTTTTATTGAGATAGTGTTAACAATCAATGAGAGAACTTTGTGTTATTGTTGAGAGACAGAATCCCACTATATTAACGTATTAAGCATCTGTTGAAATGTTAAAAACAAGACCCCAAAAAAATCAAGTCGTTCAATGTCGCTTCCTCATTCTGTTGAAAAGATAGAAAGAGTTGATTATCTCTATCATTGACTCTCCGATTGGTTTCTGTGTTTTTTTATGTCTAATGAAATGCATTCATGGTCTACATGTCCGTCTTCCTTTGTCACAAAGGTTCTGTTTGCTGTGTTTCATCTGCAATCTGCATTTGGTCGCCAAGATGGTGAGGAAGTACGTGAAGCCCCCGGGAACCCCAGCTGGCTACATTCCATTCGTCGACCTCCAGTCCAAATGGATTGTCTGGAGGGATCCGAAAGGAGGCCGCATGGACACCAATCTCTCACTCAACCTCAACTTGGCCTGCTATGGGCTTAACCCATGCAATGCGAAGAACCACCCCATGGACGGTTGGTCCTTAAACGGGCCCTTTGCTACACGTGATGGCAATGGGGGGAAGGTCCTGTGTCAGGACTTTAAATAAAAATAGTCAAATATGTTGACAAGACCCATTTTTTTTAATGTGTACAGAACATTTTTATGTTTTTAAAATCAGAGACAACTGACAAGAAAATGTACTTGCAATTTTTTTAAATATATTTTTTTCACTAAATGACTTTTATTTCTAGTATTCCATTGATGTAAAGTTGATGAGGGAGAAATGTACAGGTTTTTTTTTTGCACATGTAGCAGCCATGTAAACTAAAAATACTACTCAAGGTTAAGATTTGGATCATCAACATATCTAGGAAAGCAGAACACCTTACACTAAACTTGTTTGGAAATTTATCCAAGTAAATGACAAGAATGAATAATTTTTCTAGAGCAGGCTGTCACGTTTCTAGCGCGTGGTTAAATCACAGATGCAATGCTACTGCCTCTATTTTAGCTCACCTAATGTTAGATTTCAGGTTTAAGGTAATGAAGCAATGAGGGTTTTTGCTTATTTCTGGTAAATAAAATAGAAAAA